CTCATTGACAGGTTTTCTAGGTCTTCCTCGCTTACGCTCAGTTTGGCTGTCATTCGCAGAAATAAGGTCATCTTGGTTATTTATCATCTTTCCAGCTTCTCCAAAATAAAGTATTACGGCTTGGATAGTTTAGTTTAGATTCATTATGTTTTAATTGAAGAAATATGGCTAAATTGTAGGAGCTCCAACGGGACGTCCTTCCTGCACTGCCTCCAAACGCAATCATGTTTTTATTTTGCTTTTTTCCTTAATATTAAATTATTTTCATCATCACCACCATTACAATTACCACCACGACCATCATCATCACCACCAATAGACCCCTTGCACGTCACGTCAAAAAGCAGCTCAATTTGCAGGACGAAACAAAAGAATTTCAATCTTCTGAGAATTGGGAACCTATTATTATGTCCTCCAAATGAAACTGCATTCCTACTTGCTGCAACGGGTCTATACTCCAACTGTACACCACCAACAACATGCCAACAACCTTCATCATCAGTATCGCTGTCATCGTCCCTATCATCACCATCATCACCATATCGTCGTCACTGTCACTATCATTATGCCTATTATCATCAACACCATCATCATCATTATAACACCAAAACCATGATTAGTATAAATATTTTGATCCGTCACTGCACCACAGAAGAAAGAGGAAAACTGTCACGCTGTTTTAACTAAAAGTAAAACAAAACTCGTGCGTCTCACATGTCAGTTACACAAGAATAAACCCATTGTCCTTAGTAACTCACCAAGTCATTTAGCGATTGAATAAAAGAATATGATTTGCATAGGAAAAGCAGGAAGGAAAGGCTAAACAAAACGTGCATGAGTCAGCGAAATTCATTCTACTCGAAAGTGAAACTCGCTGATGCGTCGAGTAAGTAATACTGATGTACCTGTTTAGCCAGCTGATTCAAAGTAGGCATATATTCAGCATTAGTCTAAAGTCTTATTATAATATCTAAGATGGAGCTAATAAAACGCAATAAAACTGTAATAAAATGTTTAGTGTTTAGATACGTTTTAGTTAATAAAGTACACTGGCTTTTTTTAAATTTAAATTAATCAGAAGAAGCGAATATGCTTTGGTTATTGGATCGAAAAACTGTCTTATCAGGATGAGTAGAATGTGCTTACACCAAAAGTATTCAAAAATATGTGTTGTTAATAAAGAAGAGCTTCAAGCGCGAAAAATGCGTCGTAAGAGTTCGCCATTCTAAACCAGATAAGTGCAAACGTCAGAGTTGAGTTGTTTGAATTGCGACCCTCGAAGTTGGATGTCTCGTTTGCCGAATTACCACGCGTTTCAACGACCGTCAATCAAAAAAAATAAAAAATAAAAAATTGGCTGAATTAAGGATTTTAGAGGATTAAGGGATTGAAATCTTTAATTCAGTCTAAGGTCTAAAATCTCCCCTAGTATATATATTTTAAATTTCAGTGCCTTAATTGACGGTCGTAGAAATATTCTAGTCCACGAACGATACATCAAACTTCGCGGGTCGCACTTCAACGATATTGGTAGAAAACAGTGAACTGAAAACGCTGCCATGATCAAGTTATTACAGAATAACGGCAGAATAAAGCACAGGGAACAAAGCTTCACCACCGGTATAAAATACTTCCCTTCTGCTCTCCATAAAAATCCGATTACATTTGTATGTGCCAAAGTCTAAGAACAAAGAAAGTCTTAATATTTAATCAATGAACAGAAAAATGTCAAGCAAATAGAAGAGGGGCAATCTTTTACCACAGATATGGAACACTTTTCTTCTATTCCAAGACTGATGAGTCATTAAAGTCAGCTTATATCTGTATGTGACGATGTCTAAGAGCCACCTGACGAATGTCACCCAAATCGTAACTAACGGAAGTATTAGAGAGGGCATAAAAAACCTCTTCTCATTCCAACAGTGTGATTCTGAATTCGGCAAGAAATATGTGCGTGTGTGTCATAATAGATCGTCATACTTAGCGAATAAACAGATGAATCATCACTAAGGGCAGGAATCGAGATGAGGGGCAACTTGCCCTCCATCAAATACGTAAGAAATCAGTGATTCATACAATGAATCCCTAAAGTAAGTTCAAATTTCGCGTGTGTCATCATTGATAAGTGTTTGTCATGCTTAGTCAATGAACTAACGAATCTCAGCCAAATACTGACGGCAGATTCATGGCTGAATAACAACTCTCCCGCATAGACGTAAAAAGAAATGAAACCACTTGAGTTGAAAGACAGGTGTTACCACAGCGGGACCGATTACTGACACTAGATCTTGCACAAAGATCAGTGGGAAATGTGTTTGTTAAACTCCGTTACCATAATACAACTCTTTATATTCTATTTGTTTTCTTCAAATGTTTCTTAAAATAGGGTTTATTGCTTCAAATGCAGATTCAGTGACGTTCTGGATGAATGCGAACTGTTCATGGATGAGTGTTTTTTTTTTACTTGACGCATCCTATCGACTCTTAAATGCAAGCTAATGCTATTACAAGGGAACGTACGTTTCTCAGTTTTGTCATACATCATTTGTTTACTCACAGATGAAGTAAAACAAGTGAAAACAGCCCTAAATAATTCTACTTTTTTAAAAACAATTTTACCGACCTGCTTGATGCCTGTGTTCACATAAATGACGATCAGTTCTATAGAATTATTAACCAAGTATACAAAGCGGACATATACTACGATACTTCGGTTTAGCTATCAAATATAATTGTAATAATTTAAAACACAAAATATAGGGACATAAGATGACAAGCATTTGCACAAGGCATCATCAAAATACCAAGTGTCAAAGTTACAATAAATAAAGATTATAGCACAATTTGTATTCACTTAGCAAGTTGACATCCGAAAGGAAAAAACGGTTTATATTCGTATTGGGACGTTGGCATACGTCAGATGTATAGTTTGAAAGCGAGGACCACTTTATTACCACTAATATAACGTCGAAATACTCTAGAAGTGGCAGTCGACTAAGCAAAGTAATGTYAATATTTTAAAGCATAAAACGTGCATCGATGTGTACGAACCCATAAACACTGGGCAATATCGACTCAAGCAATTGAAATAGAGCAAGCAAACAATCGGTTTAACCATAGTTAACGTGACCGCTGTAAGACTTGGAAAATTTCGTAGAAAATAATGCTTTTAAATTTAAACTGAGTAAAAGCTTTAACTTGCAATATTCGTTGAATATAACATTTATTTATCAAAATGCAGAAGCAATCAAATCAGTATTTGTTTAGATTTTGTACTGCAAGAAAATTCCGATCTTCAGTAACTCGTAAGCTGTCATAAAAATCTGAATAACATTCTTTTACAAGATAGAAAACTATTCAAATATTCTTACATATATCCACAAGAGGTCCTTAGGCTACTTTCGATTGTAAAATGCTAATGCCACAAAAGTTCCATAAACAAACATTGCTTGAGTCAACTTGGCTTTGAAATACTTCCTGAGTTGATATGCTAATAGATGTTTATCAGGGGCAGAAACTAGAAACACGTTTGTATTGAATCTTTTGATATCCTAGAGTGTTCGTGGATCTACACAAAAATTTACCATTTCTCAGCCGACCTTGGCAAAAGAACGCGCAACAGGTGCCATAGCTAGGTAAAGAAATCAAGCTGGGATAACGATTCAAGTCACCCACAAGTTTATTGATCTGTAAGAGAACTTTTAACTTAGTGCTCTTATATTGGAATGGCTATGTGCGTACCTTTAGCCTTGAAATAACAAAATATCGACAAGTGTGTCAGATAAAGCCGTGATTTAAATTCAAAAGTAGTTCCTGCAAGCCAGAACTTGAGTGCCCCAATATAAACATCACTGCGTTGGAAGGCAACTACTGACGTCTTCTTAGGCTGATTTGTGTACTTAGAAGAAAACCAACAACAATTGGAAAGATTTTATTATTTATAAAGACTACAAATAATACTAACTTGTCTCTCTTTTTTTTTTCTTTGTCTCTTGAATAACATTAAAAAAATCTTCCTTTGATGTTTTACTAATGAATATTGCTGAGTTCCCGACATGGCATTTTGCCATGTTAAACCAGCACGGAACAGGAAACCCGGGAATTGTTTTCGCGATAAGATTGAAAACAGCGACGCCAAATCCTCTGATATCCGTCAGGGATGTGATGTAAAATACACTATTATTTAAAAAAGTTTATAATTGAGCTGAAGCCATAATCCTGGCTACAAAAAAGATTGATCAAGGCTGGCTGTGATTTAGCGGTATTCTGTTATAAGTAACGCATAACAATACCTTGGCGAGATCATAAATCAATAAACTGTATGAAACGACTCATTCGAGCATCCTGATTGGTCGAGCTTACAACCTGTTATAAACCTTTTTTTGTGGAGAACACGGCTTTGTTAAGACTGTCATTAAAACACCCCCAAACGTCTCAAGCAAATGATTTCAATTTCAAATTCGACAGAACAAATCGTCTTGTGCTTGGCTAATAAAAACCATACAAGTTAAACAGTGATGCACATTTTGAAGCCTGGATTACCTTTTGACTCTTTCGAGTCGCGTTCTGAATGCTCATAGCAAATCCAGCATTAATAAATTGATCGGCCGTGCGTCACGAGACTTGGTTGTCAACCTTCAACATTCTAGAATGTCATAATGACCTTGCAAATGAACTATTATTATTATCAACACGAAACACCCTCATAGACTACGACCTGCTTTGATGATTGTTCATTTTATTCAGCAGTTACTTGGTTTTTATATCTAAAAAAATCAGTACTCAACACCTAATCAAATGTGCGCCTTTGAATTTTAAGTACACACTAATGCTCAGTCGAGGCACCTGTTACCTCGGCTGTTTATCAAGAAACAAATGAACTAGAAACGTTCGAAGAATATATCTTTCTTATCTCATCTTGAGCTACTTGCTCACGATCAGTCAAGGCATATTCATGCGTCAAACGAACTTGTCAAAGACTGCTGATGTTTTCGATATTGTTAAAGTACACCACTGTGAGGAAGTGTGGTATAAACGTACTGTTTCACTTCAATGTGCTCTTTAGACCGCTTAACGATCACGTCTCTCTTAATTCTATCATTAATAATAACAAAAATATCAGTACAAGAAAAAAATTTGGAATTCTTGTGAAAAAATGCTCTTCCCCAAATTATTGGAATTCGTGTCAAATCTGGCTTATATAACCGTCGAAGAAAGCTACATTTTGAGCGATATATACATATGTATTAGATATCAAAATCTGATCTATAAAAATATTTGCAAGCGGTTTTATGTTTTCAGTAAACACACCCAGCTATCACGGGCTTATATTTATCAATTATAATATACGATATCACAAAGTTTCGTTCAGCTGTTGTAGCTGTTTCAGTGTTCATTGCCTTCCAGTGTGTTGCAGGGTGACCGGACATGATTCTTCGTGCTTCATTAGTAATGACATGCGAGAGAAAGATTTCGAGCAGCGAGGACAACAGTATTTCTTTACATCGGAGTGAGTTTGAAGGTGAGCTCGGAGATTTGAACGATCGGCAAAGGCTCTTTGACAGTACGTGCACTTATAAGGCTTTTCCCCAGTATGAGTGCGAACATGTCCTTGCAGCAACCAAGGCCGGCTGAAGGCCTTGCCGCAAATTTTGCACTTACAAGGCAGCGTATGTGTGCGAATGTGCATTTTTAGCGCTCCAAGGGAGACGTACAATTTCTCACAGTATTTACAGTGGAAGGGCCTCTTCTGGTGAGTGTTGCAATGAAACTGTTGGTGTCTCAGTAGATTGGTAAGGGAAGTGTAGGTCTTGTGACAGTGCTGGCACTGATTTCTGATCGGTAGATTTGTGACTTTCCCATCGGAGCCAAAATTCCCTGAGGCGATTTCTATCCCTTCAGCATTGGCTCTCGCCAAGAGTGCTTGCTTTCTTATGGCATCTTGAACTTCTTGATTCTGCTTCCCAGTCTGAATGTTGTTGTTTCCAAGTGCAGAACTAAGGAAGGTATTTTGCGAAAAGATTCTTGAGGGCTCTGATACGACACTGAAGTGAGCGTCGGCTTTTTTCCCGAAGTTGGGAAGAGATTCTTTGACACACTTATCCTGGCCAGACGCATTGGCGCTGATTTGATTAAACTCTCGGACAAAACCTGTTGCATATCATAAAAACACATGCTCATTATTAATGGCATATAAAATTACACGAAAAAAAAATTAACTTATTTTGATACTTCTTCGATATAACGTGCATTTTTCTATCATAGAGAAGACGTATATTAACTTYAAATGAACTTCAAAACGCTTGAAAGTCATTTGGCTATGTTCAAGGTCGTTTCTTGGGTGAGATGCACTTGTTACCCAAAGTTGCAAGTGCACAATACGAAAACATAAAAATTTCCTAGAAACTTCTCCAAACTCACCGTTCCCGGGGCTCGCGACGATAAGAGTAGTTGGTATCTTCCTACAACGTTCAGTTTTCTTTTTCACGAGAAAAGATTTTGGCATTTTGAAGCTAGAATACGGCGTATAGATCAGTGATTGTTTTGATCCGTGTACTCTCTGCGCATTCCAAAAGTCTTCTGATTAATATCAACAGACCGTAACACAAGGTGAGGGAAATACGCGTGACGTCACAAGTCAGGTGCAAGGCCACATCAATCTCTAAGTACTCTACAGGGGTCTATAGATATGTTAAATTGGCCAATCACAACCACTTTCGACTTAACATTGATCCTTGTTTAATTCCATGTTCATAAACAATTACATAGGTAAACCCATCCTTTCCTCACCCACACTTACCCAACCCAAAAAAATAATTGACTTGGAATTCGAGTTATAATGGAAATACGAAAGGAAATGTCGTTGTAGCAAGTTTAAGCTCCGGGAAGGATTTCAATACAGGTGATTAGTCTCAGCCGTAAGGTTTACACTTGACTAATCTGGGAACAAAACAGGTTATTGTGATGCGGGGAAACCAAATGCAAAATATCATTGAGAAACTTGATCTTGATCATAATACCTAGTCAGTGGAAAGCAGAGACAAGCGCTGAAAGCAAAACGTGCCTTGCATCTTCATCAGAGACATAACATAGTTCTCAATGAAACCATCTAATACATTAAGCCTTTATTTCGACCATCGTATGAACGCTAAAAGATTGAAGGCTTCTTTGTTGAGGTTGACTTAAGTTAAATTAGCGATTAAATGACGGGCGCTTTGTAAGTGATTCATGCAACAGGTGACCTTATTAAGACAATGATAATTACTCATTCAAACCAAGTCGATTCCAAAGTAATAAATCACAGTCTGAAAACAGTTTAATTTGAATATCTCTATCAAAGAAATCTTTAGAAACTAGTTCATCTGTGTATGTTATTTGAATCCCTTTTTTCTTGAAATAAATAATTTCTGGTCAATTGGTTTGTCTTTTTTGATTTCCTTCGTAATTTCGTGGCCTCCGTCGAAAAAAGTGAAAGACAAAGTCGCATTTTACAGCGACAGACTCACTGCTCGTGGTTACACTTGACTTCATCCTCAGTTAAGAAGTTTACCTTATGCTTTTTTAAACCTTCAAATATTTATGATCAACATCAATAAAATCATGGACGGTTGTATACAGAACTTTTCTTACAGCAGGAAAGGGAATTCTGAGAGCAGAAAACGCTAGACAAGACTAAAAGAAATAAACATTTTAAAGGCAGAATCGCAGGTCCATACAAAGACTCCATACAATGGGAATCAATAGAGCTTATCAAATCAAAGTTCAGACCTTTGTGGAAATCTACCGCTTTCGCTATTTTGTTTATTTGAGACTTACACTATACCAAAACTAATAGCTATCAAGAATTAATTTTATAACATTTCTTGGCCTTAGATTTCTTCTGTGGGTTGAATGACAAAATTCAATGATATTTGGAAGCCGATGTCTTCCTGGAAGACAACAGGTTTCTTTCAGTGTGTTCAAGTATGTTTTTTCCGGCCTCAAAACACGTTTAGTTTTTAGTACAGCAGGTATAAAAATGAAACCTCTGAAATAACCTGGTCTTCCCTTTTGGCTCCCGCGTCGAAGGGAAAAAAACATATGTGGTCATATCAGCACATTACTCATCCTGATTCATTCAGCTTTGTTTAAGATGAAACCCCTCTTGTGTGTCGTTGAACTTCCTGAATTGGTCAATAGACTCACTGTCGAGGTTAAATGACTCAAAGAAAGCCACACTAAAATAGATATATTCAATTGTTTCGATCATTCTGAAACTGAGATTATGCTTCAGGAAATTACCGAGGTTGTTACTAAGCCATGTACTTTTTGTACGACAATCCCATATGCCTCATTGTATAGTTCGGAAATAATACTACTATTTCGATCCTATTTTACTGAGAAATACCGGAACACGTTTCAAACGCAAACAACCAGTTGCTTGAAGAGACATTGAACTTCAGGTGCTGTCAGAAAATACGCAAAGTCAATAAAAAAAAAAAAACTATATTTATTTATATTCCTAAATATCTTTGGAATCCTTCTACTGGAAGTTCATCGTTGATCTACCATCTATATTCAAGTTTATATATATATATATAACCACTTAATTTTTGAACTTACGTTTTGCGGTTATTTTTGAATTATCTTGCCTCGAAAACGAAAGCATTTTTCTTATTGCTGCAAAGTCAAATGATATGAATAAATATGGCCGGATATCTTCAAGGTGCTACGTGACCCAAGAAAAGGTTACAAAACGTCTTTTACAATACCAATCTGCTCAGTGCTTATTAATGACAATATTATTTCACGTAACAGTTAATATACACTTGTGGTGACGGATTTTGTACAAACCTGGAATGTAAGACTTTCCTGATTCATTTAGATGGGTAACAGTACATTATCTCTCACTCCCCCAACAAATCAGTTGTTAAGTTTGAACATAGTCAGTCTACTTCAAGAAACGAGAATCTTCAAAAAGACCTAATTTTGTAGTCATGTTTTAATCTCAAAAGTAGACTTACTCTTTAAATTAAATTTTCCATTATGTAAAAAAGAAAGGACTGAGTAGAAGAACTAGAGGAACATAGTATAGTTTATTTGAAATCGGGAAAAAAAGAAGATTAAAACAGGGATAAAGAATCGAGAAGAGGAAAAAGAAGGGTATAGGGTCTGTGTTGATTACCTTGTTCAAAGAAGTACACTCTAGTGCCATCACCCCTGACATAGAAGTTGTCTTCAAGACATCGACCTGCAGAACGAACAAAACTAAGTGAGACCAGAAATTTAAAATCAAAGACTGTTATGTTGCTGGGAACTTCATTTCGCTTGCAGTAAATTATGTTTCAGCCAGCAAATAAACGAGAATATTTCAACATTCCCAAGTATTAACAATCATCAGGGTAACGGAAAACAGAACAGAAATAGTTTTTATTCTCATCAAAAAAGCACACGTTTCATCAGTTGCTGTCAGTAGCGTTGGAAATTCTGCAATGCAACGTCTTCAACGTCTTTGAGCCTATTTATCGTCTTTTCTATCAATCAACTTATAATTTTGTACATCTGTTATCATCAGAAATTTTTGTATTTGTAAGAAGACATTTTTCTCACCAAATGCAACAAGATTTTGAAAAAAAAAAGTTTTTATTTCTTTGGTTTTCAAGACATCACGAGTTAAACGGCGTGCGTTTTATCAAACAGCTATTTTGGTTGTTCTTGTCTATCATTAGGTACACACTGACTTCATAAACGCTTGGAATACGAAAGAAAGCAGCACGTATAATGTAGTGACTGTTAATGGTTACCACTAACGCTAAGGGGCTTGACAATATCTGTATGATCGTACGGTCATGATTGTTTAAAAATATGTGTGTATATCACCCTGTAATTATCATAGAATTTGAGTGATTTTACTTAGCCGTGACGAAAGAAGACTAAAAAGGTTGCTATATCTTATTTCCATTGTCATTTTTTTGCGTGTCTTTTTGACTATTACACATTTAGACACCACGACATCACGAACGTATTAGCGGATTAATTAAGTGATGTATTCTGTAATCATTCTGAAAGACATTAGTAAGAAATCACTTTTTCCTTGTTATGACTCAAAGCTATAACACTGTGGCTACTAGATTTTGCTCCATGCTTTTATTAAATGAAGCTATTTATTATTCGAATCTCCCAGTAAGGATCATTTCAAGGGCTTCATAATCACCCTGGATTCATTCTCTATAGGGCTTAAATTAACTTGGCAAAGGTGTCTTCTATGATATTCAATCGTTCATTAGCATGATACCCCAAGGCTACCTCACCCGTCAGGTGGAAGTTCACACCCTTAGCATGGAATCAGCTGGGTCATCTATAAGGCCACGCTTGGAGTGTTACCTTTTTTGAACCTGAGCTGTGCAAGATCGTAGCGACCATAATCTCTAAATAGAATCACCCCTCCGGGCTTTAGTAACTGAAAAAAATCAATGAATCGTGTGAGCCAAATATTTACTCAAATTCTCCCTTTTACCCATTGGTAGCTGTGTTAGGACATACACTAACTTGGAGTGCGAGCCGCACCTATGTTTTACGAGCCAATATCAGTGCTCCGATTTGCTTGTTTATCGGAACCGCATAAATCAAGTACGGAAAGGCGCGACCAAATTGTTTTTACTGACATGTTTTTAGTGATGTTAATCTAAAAACACCAGTCGCACCCTAAATCCTTGTAATACCGTCGGTGGTCTGTTGGAATTGCTTGGAAAAAGCACCAACAGTTTAGGTACTGAAAGTTTAGGTACTGAAAGACATAAGCTTTTTAAGGAGCCAAAGGTTTCCGTTTCGTTCTTATTCCTTGAGCATTACGTTTTAAAACCACTTCTTGGCGAACCTGAAATATTATTTGTCGACCGTGGCCTATCGTTATTTTTGAAAAAGACCAGTAATTGAATTACATTACATAAAACATTTTGTTACTGAGACGCCTGCCTGTTTACGCCTTATTCCTTATTTCGTCACTCGAACAGCATGCGGAAATTTAGGTTGAAGACATTCGGTAACCAGAATTGATGGATGGGTGGATCATGGAGTTATTTCAGAAGCATTTTTTGGCGTACGAGAAAACATTTATGTTGCGTGAACGCCGAAAAAACAATTAAATAAAAAAAGCAGTTTATCTTTACACGCTAATGGGCAATTTAACACAAAGGGTTATAACATGAAGCAAGCATCGTCTAGCATTTTTTTCTAGGGCTAGTGAAGGATAATTAGCACACTACCTTCGCTAGCCTTGATATTACAGTCTGCATTCTGAAAAGAAAATATCAAAAAATTAAAGAATATAAAATAACTGAGTTGATGATCTAGAATGGAAAAAAGATCGAAATATTCCTTAAACAAGAAAACAGAATTTTTAGTATTATATTAAAACGCGCATAATCCTACAATTTGCCATCAATCAAGGCATATCTATGACATTTCGTAGGTATGTGCTCTTAAAAAATGAGTTTTCTGACAATAATTTGGAAACAATTATTCAGGTCACCAAAACTTGCCTTATCCCGACCACGATGCCGTGCCGGTATTCATGATTGGATAGCGCGCTCAAAATTTATATTATTTCACATTTTGCATTGGTACAAAAACCCAATTACACCAGAGATACGAACCAAAGTCCTTTTCAAATCTAAACGTATGTGGTTACTGAAGTACAAATTGGAAGACTGAAGGATGCAAGAAAGTGTGGAACGGTTGAGGGATTAAATGAAAGAGAAGAGAAAGGAAAGTAATGGATTAAGGAAAGAAAAGGAAAGAAAGACTAAAAGCAAGTACTCACTTGTCTGGATGGACGGCAGAGAGAACGAAAATTAACAATATAATATCAAGACTTCCATCTGGAAACGGATACACGAAATCCTCTTGTGTGACATCACACACAAATGCATGACAGCGATCTGGATTATAGTCTTGATGCTCCTGTGATGTTAAATCAAAGTCAAAAATCTTCTCTTTCTCTTCCAACTTAAAGCAACATACGCTAGTTATACTAGGATCATTTAGTTTTTTATATTTTGATTCCCACTGACTTTTGATTTTACTATGTGTCACGAGGCAATATAAAATTAAAAAACAAAAAGCAAAAATTGCTATACAAACTGGGAATGGTTTAGAAAATCGATGGTATATTGCAAATGGTCTTTTATCTGATTTATTTTTAAAACTTTGCCCCCATTTTTGAAAGAATTTGAAACAATAATTAGTAAGAGAGTTGTTAGATATTGTACAGTCCTTTGACTAAACATTGTCGTTCGATCGGCTTCATCCCTACGCACCTAGACCGAAAAGGATCATGGGGATAATTAATTCACAGTTACTAGCTGCCGCATATGTTACCTAACACGTCTTGAGCTCGCTCTTTTCGATCCCATTTAATTTGCTAAAACCATGCCTCGAGCATACGGCGAAGATTTAAACTGGCGAGCAGTTTGGATGACGCAAGTTGTGGGTAATTTATCCGTTATCCTTTTCGGTCTGGGCGCGTAGGGATGATCCAATCAACGACAACGTTTAGTCAAAGGACTGTATATAGCATAGTTAAAGGAATCATTACTGACAGAGATATTGATGGCTCTTTATGGGAGACACAAACTCTAGGGGAACACAGGGATAAAGGATATTCGACCCCCTTTGATCACTTTTGGGTACTTAGTCCTGGACTTAAGATGTTTCTCTATGATATTAGGAACTTGTTGTGCATTTGATTTAATTGGAAAGTACTATTTTAATGAAATGAAAGAAACTTACCTTCACCAAGTCTACAGCAGTTTTTGAAAAGTCACAGCCATATACAAATAAATTAGGATCACTGTGTAAAGAAAGAAAAAAAGAAAAATTTTGATTTCCCATCTCAAGATTAGATACAGGATTTTTAAAATTATTTAATTTAGTATTAATGTATTATTAATCAATTATTAAGTCCTGTTACTGAATTAACATGGTCAAAGGGCACTTGTGTTACTGAAGTGTGAGAGCAGGATGGAACATAAATGAGAGAAAAGGATGGGTGACCTCCATTAATAATAATAACAATTATAATTATAATAATTTAATGCTTATAAGGCACATTTTCCATGTTGAAATGATCAAATGCGCCGTAACAAAAGAATGACATAATTAAAAATATTTTTAAAAGGCAGATTTAAGTATACACAATTATAAAATATGAGATTGAATATTCAATCAAAATGTTATAATACATGATATAAAAAGACCTCAGAATGCCCCTAATTTGAATATTACACTTAAGTGTCTAAAAACTCACTTATTTGCCTCAAGAATAGGGAATATAGTATTGCCAACACCACATCCCACCTATGTAATTCAAAATAATGATACACATTTAATGATGCTAAAGACTGCAGGGGTAGCAAAGTATTGGTCATATGGGGGGGGGGGGGGTGGTGCAGTGCAAATAGCCATTTTCCAACCAATACACATGTGTATACATTTTATTCTTAGTGTCTTTAAAGTTTTTTAACATATCCATAAGCTCAGCAAAACGTTTTTTTTTTGAGGGGGGGGGGGGGGTCACTGCATATCAGTAAGCAACTAGAAACCTTTTAATTTCTTAGAAAATGACTATTATAAATTAATTTGGACTTGCACTGCAGTGCATTGTTGGGGGAAAATATTATATACTCAAATGCACTTATTATTTACTAATAGTATGTATAGTGATTCTTCAAAGCTATAGGTATATCACTAAAAGCAATGATAACCTGCCACATTAGACTGATCAACATGTGACCAGTCAAAGTGACCAGTTATGAGTACTGGCCTTTGAGTTGTTTGGTCCTGGAAGTGTCAATTTCAATGTCAAAGACATTTTCCATTGGCTGGCTCATATGTTAAGCCCTGAATCTCTTGTGAAAGGAATCTGATTATTATCTTGACATTGCAGTATATTATTATTATGTTAGGTACCTCAAGAACACATTTCTTTTTGGAATAATTCTTTTCTCTCAATAATCTATCCTTTTGTTGGGATACAGCAGAATCTTCAGTCTGAGCTTGTGTATCTTTTGACACAGTTTCACTCTTGTCTAAAAGGCTACTAGGTGTATTCGTATTGGATTCAGAATCTTTAGTGTCTTGGTTTGTGCCTGCACCAAGCTCTGGAAATTCAGTAAATAACCAGTGTCTGTCTTTAAAAAATCTAAAAATGGAAAATTACTCAATGACTCAGTATCCAAGTATTAAATTCATCATAACACCCAAGTATTAAATTCATCATAACAGCCAGACAAGCTAAATTAAGGAATGCTTTAAACATTGTTATCATCAATCAACATGGGTTTTTTGATGTAACGTACACCCCCAAGAATATAAATTGGTTGATGTAATGGTTCTTAATTCTAATATATAAAGTACTGCTTTCTAATTTGGCCCACTTTTGTACAGAAAATCTACCAAAAGTGTTCCAGATACTTAGTTTACAAACCTGTTCTGATGTTGGTTATAAAATTCATCCCAAAAATTGCTAGCTTCAGTTTCGTATTTTTCTGAGAATGAAATATAATTACAATGCCGATTAAGCATGATGAAAACATCAATATTTTATAAAATAACATTTATTTTACTTTTTACATATAAGAAGATTTATTTAGCAGTTTCATTGATAAACTATAACTACAATCAACAGAATCAACAGAAAAAAAATTAGTTTGATCATTTACCTCGCATTTCAGTTTCTATTTTAACAGCTGAATTTTCCGTGATCTTTTTCAATGCCTGTTGTTCCTGTTCAGAATCCCACTCAACGTTATCCCTAGAATAAATAATGATAAACAACACAGGACTTTTAAGGCTTACATGTATGTATGTCCCATTATATCCATATATACAGTTAGTATGTCGACATCTATATTGGAGTTTGATACAAAATCATCAATTATGGATTACCATAAAATAATCTATTATATTTTACAATATATCTATCAAGCTTACCAAGCGTTGTGCTCAAAAACTTTTGAAGGATCTGTCAAAAGGCGGCTTCCAAATTGAGGTCTTTTTCCTTCAACTTCGTCCGCCATTTTGAAAACAATTGTTCGTGAGTCATTCTACTGTCACCAAAACGTTTACCGCTGGACAAACAAACAAACCAGTCTAGAATTTCAACTTGGTTCTTTCTAAGTTTCTTCATCCGTTTATTCCTCCCTACTTCTGGATTTAGTCACACGTTTATAAGGTAATGTTCCTAATATAACCTATTTTTGCATGATTACTTGTCTAAGTTTGAATGGATCCGGAATGAATTAATATTTTTCTGTTTAATGTGGCGCCTATCGCTATGGTACGAGGCACTATCTAGGGTCCATGGCTTGAGGCTGCAAAAAGGCTTTATGCAGAACCTACTATTAATAGAAAGAAATGTTAAATTGAGCAGAAGCATGTACAGTATCGCTTGAGGCCCATGAGCTGTAGAAATGAGCTTGCTATCAAAAGTGAAATTTCATTCCATCTTTCCCTGCTTTATATATTATCTTTGTATATCTTCATGACAGACTTGTTAACTGTTGAAATTTTACCTCTTATAGATAAACTTGTGCTATTAAACCGTTTAATTGATAACTGACGATGTCGAAATTCTTTATTTGATTCAATACGTACAATAATAATAAAAAAATTAACCTTAGTTGGTAGATACGCTGGCAGTCGTTTTAAAAAYCATTATATTCTTGGTGCTTTCTGCTTTCTGCTTAAATATTTGCTTTCTTTTCATTTTTAAAGCTGTAGACGAGCTAATGAATTTCGATTCATCACCTCCCTGGATTCACTTGCGTTTTGAAACCCCAGCCGGACGTCCTTATGCTAATTACTAATCAGCGGAAGTAAAGACCGTCTGAAGCACGTCAGGAACAAGCCAGACCATCTGGTTTCTTGACGAAACAAACGCCTATTTAAAAGATGGCTTACTTCTGACTCTTGTAAGAAGATTTTAAACGACGTGATCYAGTCCAGTCCAAATCTAAATACGCTCACTAGTTGTCGTGACTTATTCGTTCCGGCTTTCGACCCCCTCCTCGAATCCTCTTCCAGATTCTAACTCAAATTATCCACTAATTTTTACCTCAAGGTTATTAAATGGATTCAGACGTCACCCAAAATCTCACTCTGAAATTCCTTGCGTTCCATGCTGTTGTCRCTCCAGATGTCAAGACTGGTCAAAGTCTTTTGCACGTGTCGTGCATTAATGGAGATCTAGAAATGCTAAGCATAATACTGACTTGCAGCCCAAGTCACTTAGATACTTTGATTGCCCTGTCAATCAAGACTTGTCATAACGATGAACCCCGCCTACCAGAGGAACTKATCACCAAAACTCAAGATTCTCTGCGAAGACAACAAATGCTGCACATCATTGAAACTGCTGCGGGATCATCGCATCCCAAATCAATGATACATGCTGTGGCCAAAAAGGGCCATGTATACCAAATGGGGATTCTGCTCAAACTCGGCCAAAGAATAAACAGTCTATCTAAAGATCCAGAAGATAAATCAGCGACTCCATTGATTCTTGCCAGTGCTTATAATACAARTGATATGGTTGAATATTTACTGTTCCGTGGTGCGAACAGTGACATTACTGATTCCCAGTTCAATATGGCAATTCATTCAGCTTCGTCATGTGGGGACGCGCGGTCTATTATGGCTCTTATTGCAGTTGGTAGTGATGTTAATGTAAAGGGTTTTCGTGGTAAAGCGCCTTTGCACTTTGCCTCCTTGAATGGAAAGTTAGAAGCTACTAAAGTCCTTTGCGAAAATGGCGCGGACGTGAATGCGCGGACCGCATTTGGAGATACTCCTTTGATCTGCGCCGCACAGAATGGCGATTATGAAAACATGAAACTCCTTCTTGAAAAAGGCGCCAATGTTCATGACCGCAATTCCATTGGTTACAACGCCTTGTTTTATGCTGCGAAGAAAGGGTTTACAGATATAGCCAAGCTGTTGCTCAGTTCAGGATGCGATGTTAATGCAAGGGCGCGCATTCGAGATACACCTCTGACTATTGCATCGGGTATTCGAGGGAATAAAATCATGGTAGAGTTCCTACTTCGGTCTGGAGCGGGCATTAACATGGCTGACAGGCAAGGAAGGCAGGCTCTACATCATGCAGGCGATGCTSAAATCATTGACTCTCTTCTTGATGCTGGTGCGGTGATAGAATCAAGAGATCTCTATGGCTTGACCCCTTTGTTGTTTGCCTGCAGCTCCGAAAATCGGCACAGCAGCATGGAGGTTGCTACGAAGCTTATTCAGAGAGGAGCCTGCGTCAACGCGCAAGAAGTGCTTAGCCTGTACTCACCTTTACACCACTTGTGCGCACATCATGACGTCGACAGAAATACTGTCAAGCTACTACTTGATAAAGGAGCTGATGTGAATGCCCTAGATTCTGAGGGAGAGACACCTCTTTTTTCTGCAGTCAGAAACGCGGACGTTGAAATTGTAGAGTTGCTTTTGAAGCACGGAGCGTCTGTTGATATAAAAAGTGTTTCTTCTTTGACGCCTTTAGACGTTTGTTCCTCGGCTGAAGGGGTTCATGGAGRAGCGTTGGTTCTTGAAGTTTTAAAAAAGTACAATAATAAAGTGTAATATCACTTGAATGCCCATCTTAAGGATATGCTAATCAAAAATAAGATTGTATGTTTAAATTTTAAAATTAAAAAATTCCTTCCTCAAATTAACTGATAAGCTGGGTTCAAAACGAGTTTAACAAAGTACTGCTGACATTGGTTTGTTCGACATGCATAACGAYCTAATGTTTAGTGCGATAGATTTGTTGGAGTGGAAGGGATGTCGACYTTATTAATTGGCGTAAATCATTTTTTTCTAGTCTTTTGCCTATTTTTTTTTGATGTAATCATAATTGATTGGTTCATTCGTTTGGTCAGTGTTTTTGTTCAGTGTATCATCCGCACCGAAAATGGTAGACGGAAATTGGAAATGCCGGGTAGCAAGCCAACAGTGGCGGGGCATATTCAAATAAGATGTTTTATAGTTTATATCATTCAATACTGCATGCCTTTCGATCAATGCTGGATGATGATCACGAAATGTCAACTAACTGACATGGCCATATACGTTTGACCTAATTATTAAGCGTCAATCTGATGACAYAATGAAAGGAGAGCTTGGTTGTATTGATGGGTTGCAAGCATTCCCAAGAGAGTTAARAGGCAAAAGCATGGCGGCCATTGTGGTGCCGTTAATAATGGAKKCTAATAAGAAATAGTTTGTTAAATTGCACCAACGCTCCCCCGAGAGGCCGCGATGGCGTAACGTGCAATCAAAGAATTGGCGGAGTTATGGCACAGAAACAGGTAGCTTCATTTGAGCTGAGTCATTGRTCATGACCTTCAGAACGATCTAAAGACCAACCAATCAGAATTGAGGATTTAACACTGTATTTTGATTAGCATTTCCCATGATTCTGCCWAGAGAAGCCATGAAATATAAAYTATTCATTATTTAAAATGATCGTAAATGCTAGTCAGTCTAACTCATGACGGAATTCCACTTCAATYGACAAGAGAAATCTACATTGTATTACGTCCCTGCTCAAAAAATGCATTAAAAAATAAATGACCAATAATTCCTTTTGGTGAAGGCGGTCAACTCAGCTGGTTTGTTCTTCACATATTTTATATGATCTTCTCACACTTACATGTGACTAGCAACGGTAAATAACAGAAATTCGTAGCCATGAAAAGAAGTAAATAAGTAGAATACATATGACAAGTTTTATCTAGATAGTCTAGATAAAGGTTTGACATTGACATTTGTAAGGCCAAAAAATAGTTTATTTATGGGTTATCATTGTGCGCATCAGTRGTATACTGACTACAGTATACTACAATGACACTAAGTCTAGTACCCAAGGAGAGGGGATTGTGTGGGAGGGAGGGAATTCCCAGGTACCAGCTTTCCCGGTTCTTTTCCGCTCTTTTTTCGCGAATCTTCGTTACTTTGGGTTTACACTCAAAATCCCCCATTTTACGACAATAACTTTCGTTTTCTCGCGCGCTCATTGGTCGATTTTTATCATCAATAAGAGGACGTAGGCGGGGGGAATAAGCTGACGTCRACTAGCGTGTCTTGCTCTTGGCTGTGTTGATCACTAAAACGAAAAGTTTTTATTTTTTATTTTGTAAAAAAAAAGAAAAGAAAAGAAAAGAAATGAAAAAACTCGTTAAATTTATAATGAACCGCCATCATAGTCCACCATTGAAACTGGGCTGCTTTTGAACGAGGTCGTTTGTAAATAAGTTTTAACCTTACTTACTATCTCATATATAGTAATTACCAGCTGTAACCCCAAAAGATATATACGCTAAATGATGATGATGACATTAAAATAGCAAATGTTAAAGATTTTTAGAGTTACTGTTGATCGTTATACTGGTTTATCGTAGCTAGTATATGGACACTGAACCAGTAACACCAACAGCTAACGCCTCGTTGCTGTATGCATGAGTTAAAGTTTGTACCTTTTTATGGCAAATAATAAAGATAACGCGCGATGACGGTGACGATGACGATGATGATTATGATAATTAATAACAATATGGTCTTCATTTTAAKTGGGTAAAACAAATACAGCATATAACCTGATTTCCAATTTGACCCCCCTAAATTGGACATCAGTGGTAGGCCTGCTTAGACGTCCGTTCTATAGGAACAGGATTGCTTTCAAACTTTTATCTATTTTATTTATTTATTTATTTCCCCTTACCGGCTAAAGCAATCAGTCCAATCAGGAAGCACACGGAAACAGAGTAAAGTTTTTGCCTTCCGGCAGCTGCACTCGAATGAGCGTGTGCTAACATGCCTTCAAGTCACCTGCACTTATCGCTAATTAAGTGCTGTAGTTAAATGAGGACACGTAAAGTACAGGAAGAGAGGATGTAATGATTAAGTGAGATAAACTATATTTRAAGATAATCACTCCTTGATTGTGGAACATTCATTCATAAAGCCGTCCTTAATCTGCCATATACTTTTATTAAAGCGTTTGTGGCAACTACGACGTTTGCGTGAATTATTATCAGCCATTTGAATCTTGTCAGGGATCGATATTGCAATATTTAGTTTGCATCCATTTTCAGCGACCATTCAAATGGACGACTTGCACTAAGTCACGACATCATGATGATGCATGCACTTTTATTTGACATTTTTTCAAAGAGTTWTCTTGTTTCTTGTTGTTTTTAGTAGTATTTTTTTCTGCACAAAAAACTAAATGTTTTTATATCTCGTCGATMATAACACTATGTGCTTCCGTTATCTTTTACGGGACGAACGATCGAGGCTAGGAAGCAAACACCACTTACACCTGACACGCAAAACGTGCATGCTTATTAGAACAGCTGTATGGGCTTTAATCAATTACACACACTTGAAAAGAAGGGCAGAAAAAACAATTCCGAAAAAAAAAAAAAAATGGTGTACTCATCAAATCCAGTTACTTGTTAAATTCATATCAGTTATTATTCATAACATTTTATGAGCAATCTTCAATTGTTACTTCTGTTGTGGTTGTTGTTGTTTGTTGTTTAAGTAGTAACGGTACCGTTGATGATGTTAATGGTGTTGTAGAGGATATTACATCTGTGCGGRGATASGAATTTTATCTTTGAGTGTTGAGGTGATGTCCTAGAGTTGGCACAGCGATATTCTCAAAGCGAGAAGATAAAATCCGTATCTTAGCTTCTAGTGGCCATGAGTAATATATTCTGTTAAAAATATAATTCTCGATAAAATACAAGTTTTTTTAAATATTCAATAATAATGCGATTCCGGCTATGAATTCTTTCTGGTGCTATTTTCATAACGGTGACGATATCATTTTTAAATATCTCCAAATGTGAAGATATCGTTTTTTAGTAACAGAGATCTAGAAAATAGATATTTCATCGATGATTATGTATTAAAATGTTATTGTAATGCCATTTTTGTTTATGTTATTTTAAGGTTATTTTTCCAGGCAAATAATATGCCATATGAAAAGGTAAAAGTAAAGTAGCCATTGTTATCTTTGGTACGTAGCTCCACTTTTGCTAGCCT